AAAAAAAAAAAAAAAAAAAAATAGGTAAAGTTATTAAACAGCATGGGATAACCAAAAAAAAAAAAAAAAAAAAGGCCATGCTCAATAATCCAGGTATGGGATAAATTTTCATTGCTATGCTGATGATACAATTATATTTGTCCATGAAACCCAATGAATCCAATCAGCTACTTAGACTACAAGCATGTCTTAAAGACATAAAAACCTAGATGACCCTTAATTTTTTGCTTTTGAATACAGACAAGACTGAGGTTTGGCTGTTGGAGCTGAGCATCTTATGAATACATTTTTCAGTCTTTCTCCCTCCTTGGATGGCATTAATCTGGCTCTAATGTTAAAAATCTTGGTGTTATTTTTGATCAGGACATGTCTTTTACCCCGCACATTAAAAACGTTACTAGAACCACCTTCTTCCACCTGCATGATATCGCTAAAATAAGAAACATCTTATCTAAAAATGATGCAGAAAAACTGGTTCATGTATTTGTCGCGTCTAGACTGGACTATTGCAACGGTTTATTATCTGGGTGTCCAAATTCTTTAAAACGTCTTCAGTTGATCCAAAATGCTGCTGCCAGAGTTTTAACTGGAGTTAGTAGGAAAGATCACATCTCTCCAGTTTTAGCTTCTCTCCATTGGCTCCCTGTCCAGTCAAGATTTGGATTCAAAATCTTACTTCTAACCTTCAAAGCCCTCAACATCCTAGCTCCATCTTATATTACAGATCTTATTGTTCCATATTTACCTAACAGAGCACTTCGCTCTTAGACTACAGGCTCACTCGTGGTCCCTAGAGTTTCCAAAAGCAGAATGGGAGGAAGATCTTTCACTTATCAGGCTCCTCTCTTGTGGAGCCAACTTCCAGTTTCTGTCCGTAAGGCTGACACATTGTCCAGTTTTAAGACTGGGCTGAAGACTTTCCTTTTTGATAAATCCTATAGTTAGGGTTGACTTGTTATGCTGCAAGTTTGACTATTGGAGGACAAATTGACCTCATTTTGTAAAATTAATAGTTGTAATTCAATGGTTTTCATTTGATACTATTTCTATCTTAACGTGATTCTCGACCTGCCATTGTGTATCTGTTCCTCCTTCCTGTTCCTCTCAAACCCAGCCGATCGAAGCAGATGGCCGCTTGTCCTGAGTCTGATTCTGCTAAAGGATTCTTCCTCACGAGGGAGTTTTTCCTTTTCACTGTCGCCTTCATGCTTGCTCAAGATCAGAGTTCTGTGATGGAGTTAAACTCAAAGCAGTCTGCTCCTCAGATAATTAATGTTAAATTGTTATTTTTATATATGAATGTTTCTGTTCAGTGCCCTGAGATGACTTCTGTTGTGACTTGGTGCTATATAAATAAACTGAATTGAACTGAATATATATAAAGCTCTTTATTAGAGCAAGTTTCCAGTTTGAGGTCAGGAGACAATAGGCTTATAAACTTTTTTGATAAAGCTTATAGTTAGGGCTGCTTTCATTAATCCGGACCCTTTCTTTTAGTTCTGCTGCTATAACGATGCTGGCAGGCCTCCCACAGTGCACAGAGAAATCGTCTTTACCTAATCGCTTGCTTCTTTGGTTTACATGCATACTGCATTTACTGCTGTCTGTACCTTTGTGGTTTTTTTTCCTTTTCTGTCTTTTAGAAGGAAATCCTGGCCATTTGCTTTAGTTACTGTCTTTGTCTTTGTCTTGTGTTTTCGCGCCCCCCCAATTAGTCGAGGCAGATGGCAGCTCTTGCTGAGTCTGGTTCCGCTGGTGATCACTTCCTGGTAAAGGGAAGTTAAAAGGAAGACTTCACTGTTGCCCCCTGGCCTGAGCTTGCTCAGGAGGGGGGATTAAATTGAAAGATTCAAAGCAGTTAACTTTTTGTTACAAACTGGGATTATATAAAAACAGTCGTATTGAACTTTAGTGTGCCCTGAGACGACTTTTGCTGTGATTTGACTATACAAACAAACTGAGTGGCATTATTAGTGCATTAGTAGCTACAGTTATATTTTCTATATATAAATTAATAAGATTTGTAAGTCATGGCACATCTGTTTTAAGGGCAATATAAATGTTATGTTCACATTCGTAAAGCTTTCTGCTGCCTTTCAAGTTATGTAATTTCATAGTAACACTGACACCAGCGCAAGTCTCACAGTTTTAGTAATTCATGCTGATTTCTTCAAATAAGGGATCCCACACCCAGTTCTGTCCGTTAAAATTAGAAAGATGTCTTTGTTTTTTCGTGAGGAGTCAGATATGGAATTTTCCTGAAATCAGTTCAGCCTCGGGGCTCCACAGTAAAGGTTGAATGTCTCCAAGCTTTGCACTCAAAAAGCAGTTTAGCTTCTGTGTCTTATATTTTTAGAGCCGTTTTCTTTATAACCTAAATATAAGTGTTTGTTTTTGCTCAAACAGTAACTTATACGATTAAAATTTCTAGTGATTTTGGGCATCCTTTTTATAAAACGTCCTTTTTTGGACCACTTTTGTCAGCCTAAACCTCTTCAGCTTTAACTGAGTTACAGAGATTACTCCTCCTTGTGCAAACTTTCAGTGAACTGTTGAGCAAAGTAAAAGAACACTGAGTAGTGTGGTCTATCTGCTTTACTTTTGAGGCTTTTAGAAAAATGTTTTCCCTGTGACCTGGGCAAACTTGACCACAAACGAAGGAAAACCTGTCAGCCTTGAGCTCCAAGCAGCAAACGAGTGGAGGCAGTGAGCAGACAAACACTGACGACTTGCTTTTTCTACACAGATGGTGAATAAGGACAAAATGCATTACTACAAAATGCAGAACAAGAGTTGTATTTGACATTTTCTTATATGTTTGCATAAAAGTTGACTTGATGGTCTGGTGGTTGATTAACATTTATATTCCAGCTTTTGCTGAGCAGCTCTTCTACATTGTCAGAGATTTCTTCTTGGAAAGATGACCAGTATTGACTGAGTGATGAATGAGTCAGTGGAGTAACTTGTTTATTCTATGACTGACTGCCTTCTAGGTGAAGGAGGAAGCCCAACAGCCCCAGATGGTGTTCACTGTGCGCCATGCAACCGTGACCTTCCAGACAGATGGGGACACATGGCGCGAGCAGAAGGAGAAGAAGGCGGCCCTTATGGTTGGAATTTTGATCGGCGTGTTTGTGCTTTGCTGGATCCCTTTCTTCATCACTGAGCTTATAGTGCCACTGTGCTCCTGTGACATTCCGCCAATTTGGAAGAGCATCTTCCTGTGGCTGGGTTACTCAAATTCCTTTTTTAACCCACTCATATACACAGCTTTTAATAAGAACTACAACAATGCTCTGAGGAACCTATTCTCCCGGCAGCGCTGAGGCACTCTGAGCCAATGCACACCAGCTTGTACTGCGTTACCTCTCCAAACAGACTAATCTGTTTGTCACATCATCAACACATTGAAAAGATGATAACCAGAAACTGTCTCTATAAAAAAAAAATATAAAAAAAAATCTTTTTTTTATTTGGTGTTTTGTCTATTAAAGAAGTCATCACCCCTCTGGACTGATTTGGGTGATTTTCTTCAAATCGAGTTATTAATTTGCCATACTGTGGCAGCAATGTATACAGTGTTTACGAGTTCATTTTCTCTCTTCCAGTCTAAGGAAACTAACAAACATGCAAACATCCTTGCTGCCAGGAACAAAAACATTGCAGAGTGACACTGTAAGAAGAAAAGAAAACCAAATGAACCTCATAAGCATTACGCCAAGAAACAACTGTGGGTTCTGTACAGAAAACGCCATTAAAACGGTCATTATAGATATCACTTCCAGCAAAACAACAAGTTAAATTATAAAAATGATGGATTTGGGACGCTGAGATTCCTCAAAGAAAGCCATAAGCTGTTCAGAGACTTTCGCTTTGCGTTTACATGATCACAAAATGCTGCCACTTTCAATTTGTTCAAGTGCATTTGTAGATAAAGGTACATTCTGTCCTCTGATGCTAAATACCTCCCACACATATTGTAAATCCACACTTACACTCCTTCCATGAGAAATAGCAGCACAAGTCATTATTTCCTCAGATGAATTGCTCTGAAGAGGTAAAACGGAGGGATCTGTTCTATCACAGGATACAGAAAACATGATTAATCTTAAGACAAAATCGCACAACTAGAAGCAGAGCATGGCTATCTACCATGCCCACTTTTAACAAAAACAATTTCACTCCAATCCAACATTTATTGGTTTCTTCCTTTCCAGTATAACCTTCCTCTGAGCTTTATTCAACTCTGCAAGGTATTTTGAGAAATATTTCGCACAGAAACAAGACCCAAAGAAAAAAAAATCTTTTGAAGTTCACCTCTGCAGAGGAATTAGTTTTAACTAAAAGCAGGAAACCTTAGCAAATAAATAATTTATGAAAAGTCAAAATGAATCGAAATAGTATATACCGTATTTTTCACCTTATAAGTCACACTGTTTTGCATAAATTTGCAAGTCCTGCGACTTATACATCGAAGCGACTAATATACCCCCCCCCCCATATTTATAACCTAATTTTTGGCTGAGATCTGACAATTTCATTCATTCTAACATGGAAAATATTGAACACTACCATTTTCGAGCATTAAGGCAAGCCAAGTGTCTCATTAATAGGTATAAGTGACTATTAATGAGACACTTGGCTTGCCATATAACCAACTTCATCTCGCTCTGGAACTCCTGGAGCAAACGTCAAATCAGCTGAATGTCAACGTGCCACCCAGGCAAAATGCAGCTGATTTGATCGTTAAAGTGCATTTATTAAGGAAAAATTCAACTGAGACACACATTTTCTGTAATGTCGAACAAACAAATAATTGTTAAATTTTGAAGAAATGCACAACGAGTCCTCCCTCTGCGCGCTCCAGCAGCCGCAAATCGATTTTCGAAATGCAGCTGATTTGACCAGTAAAGTGCATTTATTAAGGAAAAGTGAACCTGAGACAAACCCTTGCTATAATTTTGAGCAAACAAATAATTGTTTTTAAATGTTAATCTTGTAAATTCTTGTTAAAGTCCTCCTGTGCACGTTCCCACGGCTGCAATTTTGGCAGCTAATCAATTTTTGGCACAACACTGGCTCACGTTTCCGGGCAGTCAGCGGTGATGCATAACAAATGCGATGCGTCAGCGGTGGCGCATAATAGATGCGAAATATATGGGAAAGAAACTTATTTACTGTAATTTCTAGATGCACCTGAATATAAGCTGACCCACTAAATTTAAAAGTAAAATTAAAATTTTTACATAAATAGGCCTCACTTGTCTATAAGCCATGGGTGTTCATGTTATAACATGAGATATTTACACAGAATTTTTTTTTTTTTTTACTTTTGATTAAATACGTACTGGTAACAAGCACAAATACAGTAAATGGCTGTTTTGTTTTTTTGTTTTTCTGAACAGTGCCTGTAACACGGCTGATAAAAAAAAAAAAAAACAGTAATCTACCAGGAAGTCATTGATCACTACCTCCCAAAAGAGATGTGTATTGGGCAACTATGTGAGCGCCTGGGTGTGACAAAGCTAAATGTTTTGGTGGCATGAAGCTCGTTAGCCCATCAAAAACAAAAAATCCATAAATTATCCACAGCATTATATAAGTTGCAGTGTTCAAAACGTGTGAAAAAAGTAGCAGCTTATAGTCTGGAAATTATGGTATTTGTTTCCACTTTATTTGACATTTTTTGACTGGTGCGACTTATACGGCAGAAAATACAATAATATATAGCTGCTTGAGTTGCTGTTTTAACAAGAGGATACAGTTTTGACACATTTGTTAGTGGGATTCAAGTCATGCTGTGACAAATGGGTTTGTGAAGAAGAAAAGCTAATTTCATAAAACATCCCAAACGTGCTCCAAAGATTTCCACATCAAAGAACAACAAGTCATTTCTCGGTATAGTGGTGTTTTTTTTATTTGTGAATGTTTTTGTGCAACATGATTGCTTTCTTGCACAAAACACCACCTTCTACTGAAAGTATTCACCGGTAAAATCACAGAGCGAACCTTTTCTCCATTGTGTGTTTTGTACCATGTACTGTGAAGACTCGAGCATGGGAAACACATTCTCAGCAAATAGCCGTGCTACATGTAGTTGTGCTACGTTCAAGATTTTGCACCATATTTCAATGAGAGAAGAATAAAATGTATTTCTTTAAGGTAGCTAATGTGACTGTCTTGTGATATGTGTGTCCTTATTTGTTAGGTTTTTATTGTCCACATAACCTTAAGAAGAATAAAGGGTTTGATTTAGGAAAATGACTTAAGGTATTAATCATGTTTGACAAGATATGATGAATGTATTTGTAAAAAAAAAAAAAAAAGCTAAATAATTTACAAAATTTAGCATGCTATGCCCACTGAGAATGCTATTACTAAATCATAAAATCCAAAGATTGTCCTGTAAAAAAAAACATGTTAAAACTTAATCTTTTTTCAGTTTCTTATATTCTTGTATTCTTTTGTTTAGTTTGATTTTAATGTCCAGTTCAACACTGACCTTTGCCTGTGTGAGCTGTTGCTCAAAACGTGTCATTTTGCAGTTGGTTGTTTCATGTAATGAAAAACAAAAAAAATGGTATGATTAGTAAAATTTTATATTTTGCAATAAAGCATACCGTGTAATTTCCACATAAGGCCTCAAGGTTCGTGTTTCTGGATTACTGAATATGTTGTCCCAGCAATGACTGGACACAAAAACAACACATTCACTAAACTTTCATTAAAACCCTGCTTGGTGGCCTTAAAACAAAACAATATAATATTATAATGTAAGTAAGTTTCTTTCAGCTGTTCCCGTCTTCAGGGGTTTGCCACTGTGAGTGAATTCACATGAAAGATTTGGCAGTTGTTTTATGCCGGATACCCTTCCTGACGCAATCTGACCTTGAACCTGCAACATCAGGATTACAAGACCGCTCCCCTAACCACCAAGCTACTGCAGACTCTAATATGTTATTATAATGTATTAGAACAATTTATGTTTTTGTGCAGTGGTGCATAAAAGTTTGTGAATCCTTTAGAATTTTCCATATTTCTGCTTAAATGTCACCTAAAACATCATCAGATTTTCACAAAAGTCCTAAAAGTAGATAAAGAGAACCCAATTTAACAAATGAGACAAAAATATTATACTTGGTCATTTATTTATTGAAAGGAAAAAAAGAATCCAATATTACATATTTGTGAGTGACAAAAAATGTGAACCTCTAGGATTAGCAGTTAATTTAAAGGTGAAATTAGAGTCAGGTGTTTTCAATCAATGGGATGATGATCAGGTGTGAGTGGGCACCCTGTTTGATTGAAAGAACAGGATCTATCAAAGTCTGTTCTTCACATCATATTTGTGGAAGTGTATCAAGGCACGAATAAAAGGAGATTTCTGAGGCCCTCGGAAAAAAGAAATGTTGATGCTCATCAGGCGGGAAAAGGTTACAAAACATCTCTAAAATGTTTGGACTCCACCAATCCACAGTTAGACAGATTGTGTACAAATGGAGGAAATTGAAGATGATTGTTACCCTCCCCAGGAGTAGTAGACCAACAAAGATCACTAAGAGCAAGGCGAGGTCACAAAGACCTCAGAGTAACCTAACAACTGAAGGCCTCTCACACATTGACTAATGTTAATGTTCATGAGTCCACTATCAGGAGAACACTGAACAACAATGGTGTGCATGGCAGGGCTGCAAGAAGAAAGTCATTGCTTTCCAAAAAGGACATTGCTGCTCATCTTCAGTTTGGTAAAGATCACGTGGACAAGCCAGAAGACCGTTGGAAGAATGTTTCGTGGACGGATGAGACCAAAATAGAAGTTTTGGTTTAAATAAAAAGTGTTATGTTTGGAGAAAGGAAAACAGCTTTCCTGCATAAGAACCTTATCTCATCTGTGAAACATGGTCGAGGTAGTTTCATGGTGTTGATCTGTTTAGCTGCATCTGGGCCAGGACGGCTTGCCATAATTGATGGAACAATGAATTCTGAGTTATATCAGAGGATTCACACCAGATACTGAAAGCAAAGGTTCACATACTTTTACCACTCACAAATATGTAATAATGGATCATTTTCCTCAATAAATAAATGACAAAGTGTAATATTTTTGTCTCATTTGTTTAACAGGGTTCTTTTTATCTACTTTTAGGACTTGTGTGAAAATCTGATGTTTTAGATCATATTTATGCAGAAATATATAACATTTTAAAGAATTCACAAACTTTCAAGCGCCACTGTATATATTTCTGAGAAAATATATTCTGGATTTATTCACATGGGTTTAAAAAAAAAGACAAAGATATGGCCTTATTTGAAATGAAGCAGTTGT